AACGGGTTAGGGGTAGGGTTAGGTTACGTTTCGGTGTCAGGGCTGAGGTGAGGGTTAGGGTTAGGGTACGATGAAAGGTTAGGGCTACAGGTAGGGTTACGGGGTGGAGGCCACACTCATGCTTACACCCGCTCAGGCAGAGTGCGGGGGTGTCTTGCAGTGGGGGCCCCCCTCTTTTTCACTCAGGATCTTGCTGTCAGCCAGGGTGGAATACACTGGCATGATCACAGCTGACTGCAGCCTTGGCCTCCCGAGCTCAAGGGATCCTCCCGCCTCAGCCTCCAGCGTAGCTGGGACCACACGAGCACGCCGTGGAATCCGGCTAATTTTTAAATTTTTATTTTGTAGCAATAAGGCTGCCCCACTTTGCCCAGGCTTGGAAGCATTTCTTGAAATTCCAGAGGATCTAGATGTTCCAGCCTCCTGTCAATGTCGCCTTATTAGGCTCACGACTGTAATCATAGCACTTTGGGAGGCTGAGATGGGCGGGTCACCTGAGGTCGGGAGTTCGAGACCAGCCTGACCAACATGGAGAAACCCGTCTCTACTAAAAATACAAAATTAGCCTGCCATGGTGGCTTTTTTTTTTCTTTAAAGAATAATAATTATCGGCCGGGCGCGGTGGCTCAAGCCTGTAATCCCAGCACTTTGGGAGGCCGAGGCAGGTGGATCATGAGGTCAAGAGATCGAGACCATCCCGGTCAACATGGTGAAACCCGGTCTCTACTAAAAATACAAAAAGTTAGCTGGGCATGGTGGCGCGTGCCTGTAATCCCAGCTACTCAGGAGGCTGAGGCGGGAGAATTGCCTGAACCCAGGAGGCGGAGGTTGCGGTGAGCCAAGATTGCGCCATTGCACTCCAGCCTGGGTAATATATATATATATAGCCCCTTATTAGATAAAATCCTCAAATCACCCCAGGGTACCTTTTCCATCTATAGTAGAGTGGAAGCTACGCAGAGAATGAACCTTTGAACTCACCGAGGTCTACAGAAGAGTTTTTAAATATTTGTCAGAACGAAAACAAGTATCCCCCAGTGAACCTGAAGTACATGCCACGGGCCAGGAACAGCACAGTCTGAGGGTGTCCGTGCCCCCACGGATGGTTGCCCATCTGAACCGCCAGGAACCCCGTTCTGTCCCTTGGCACCTGGCAGAGACCCCTTCCTTCCCCTCAGCTTGACCCCCACATTGTGCCCCACCTGTCAGGATCACAACGACCCCCAGCTCAGCAGATGGGAACCAGAACAAAAAGAGAAACAGCCCTGCCCCATCCATAAGTAGCAGCCCCAGACGCCCTGCTCCACCCTGTGGACTCCTGAGACCCCGTGCTCCACCCCTGAAAACCACACCCAGACCCCTGCTCCTCCCCTTGGGACAACCCCAGAGCCCTCACCTCCTCCCATCAGGACTGCACCCAGACCCCCAGTCCTGCCCTCCGGACCCACTTGAGGCCACCCACAGAACCACCCTCTTCCCCTTGGGACCACCCCGAGACCTTGCCTCCTCTCCTGGGGACGCACTCAGGGCCACACCTGCAGGGTCCAGCAGAACAGGGGCCCGTGAGCCCCTCTCCACTGGTGCAGAGACGATAAAACGGAAGTAAATACACAAAAAGACACCGAGACACAGGGCCAGTGCCAACCAGTGCCCGGGCACTGATAACGAGGGCTCACGCCCGTCATCCCAGCAGTTTGGGAGGCCGAGGCGGGCGGATCCCCTGAGGTCGGAAGTTCAAGACCCGTCCGGCCAACATGGTGACACCCTGCCTCTATATTAAAACAAATAAAAAAAAAAAAAAAAAAAAAAAAGGAGGGCTTGGAGCGCCTTGCCTGAGGGTGACCTCCGTCACGTGACTTCAGAGCCGCACCTCAGGGTGACCTCCGTCACACCGTGATTTCAGAGCTGCACCTCAGGGTGACCTCCGTCACACCGTGACTTCAGAGCCGCAGCTCAGGGTGACCTCCGTCACACCGTGACTTCAGAGCCGCACCTCAGGGTGACCTCCGTCACACCGTGACTTCAGAGCCGCCCCTCAGGGTGACCTCCGTCACACCGTGACTTCAGAGCCGCACCTCAGGGTGACCTCCGTCACACCGTGACTTCAGAGCCGCAGCTCAGGGTGACCTCCGTCACATCGTGACTTCAGAGCCGCCCCTCAGGGTGACCTCCGTCACACCGTGACTGCAGAGCCGCACCTCAGGGTGACCTCCGTCACACCGTGACTTCAGAGCCGCACCTCAGGGTGACCTCCGTCACACCGTGACTTCAGAGCCGCCCCTCAGGGTGACCTCCGTCACACCGTGACTGCAGAGCCGCACCTCAGGGTGACCTCCGTCACACCGTGACTTCAGAGCCGCGCCTCAGGGTGACCTCCGTCACACCGTGACTTCAGAGCCGCAGCTCAGGGTGACCTCCGTCACACCGTGACTTCAGAGCCGCACCTCAGGGTGACCTCCGTCACACCGTGACTTCAGAGCCGCGCCTCAGGGTGACCTCCGTCACACCGTGACTTCAGAGCCGCAGCTCAGGGTGACCTCCGTCACACCGTGACTTCAGAGCCGCACCTCAGGGTGACCTCCGTCACACCGTGACTTCAGAGCCGCAGCTCAGGGTGACCTCCGTCACACCGTGACTTCAGAGCCGCGCTCAGGGTGACCTCCGTCACACCGTGACTTCAGAGCCGCAGCTCAGGGTGACCTCCGTGACACCGTGACTGCAGGAGCCGCCCCTCAGGGTGACCTCCGTCACACCGTGACTTCAGAGCCGCGCCTCAGGGTGACCTCCGTCACACCGTGACTTCAGAGCCGCGCCTCAGGGTGACCTCCGTCACACCGTGACTTCAGGAGCCGCGCCTCAGGGTGACCTCCGTCACACCGTGACTTCAGAGCCGCCGCTCAGGGTGACCTCCGTCACACCAGGACTTCAGAGCCGCCGCTCAGGGTGACCTCCGTCACACCGTGACTTCAGAGCCGCAGCTCAGGGTGACCTCCGTCACACCGTGACTGCAGAGCCGCCCCTCAGGGTGACCTCCGTCACACCGTGACTGCAGAGCCGCAGCTCAGGGTGACCTCCGTCACACCGTGACTGCAGAGCCGCAGCTCAGGGTGACCTCCGTGACACCGTGACTTCAGAGCCGCCCCTCAGGGTGACCTCCGTCACACCGTGACTGCAGAGCCGCAGCTCAGGGTGACCTCCGTCACACCGTGACTTCAGAGCCGCGCCTCAGGGTGACCTCCGTCACACCGTGACTTCAGAGCCGCCCCTCAGGGTGACCTCCGTCACACCGTGACTTCAGAGCCGCAGCTCAGGGTGACCTCCGTCACACCGTGACTTCAGAGCCGCGCCTCAGGGTGACCTCCGTCACACCGTGACTTCAGAGCCGCAGCTCAGGGTGACCTCCGTCACACCGTGACTTCAGAGCCGCCGCTCAGGGTGACCTCCGTCACACCGTGACTTCAGAGCCGCAGCTCAGGGTGACCTCCGTCACACCGTGACTGCAGAGCCGCCCCTCAGGGTGACCTCCGTCACACCGTGACTGCAGAGCCGCGCCTCAGGGTGACCTCCGTCACACCGTGACTGCAGAGCCGCCCCTCAGGGTGACCTCCGTCACACCGTGACTGCAGAGCCGCCCCTCAGGACCGGGCATCCTTAGGAACATCTAAAGGTTCTACTGAGTATATAGACACGTGACTAGGAATGACTCCCACGGCCTGTGGATCATCACGGTGGTCACGTGTCTAACTAATTTCTTCTTCTTTATTTACATGGAAACAGCCTGAGGCTTCAGACCCCTGCCTGGGCACCTGCGGGAGCTCCCATCAGCAACACGCAGAGCCCCCCACACCCCCACCTCGGGGTCACCGCAGCGCCTCCCGCTCTTCCCCTCGGGGCCACCCCAGGCCCCCACGCCCCCTCCGTTCCTTCCCTAGGGGTCACCCCATTTCCCACACTCCTCCCCTCGGGGCCACCCCATGCCCCCCTGTTCCTCCCCTAGGGGCCACCCCAGATCCCCCGCTCCTCACCTCGGGGCCACCCCATACCCCCCCGTTCCTGCCCTAGGGGCCACCCCATGCCCCCCCGCTCCTCCCCTCGGGGCCACCCCAGGTCCCCCGCTCCTCCCCTCGGGGCCACCCCATGCCCCCCCGCTCCTCCCCTCGGGGCCACCCCAGGTCCCCCGCTCCTCCCCTCGGGGTCACCCAGGTCCCCCGCTCCTCCCTCGGGGCCACCCCATGCCCCCCCGCTCCTCCCCTCGGGGTCACCCCAGGTCCCCCGCTCCTCCCCTCGGGGCCACCCCATGCCCCCCCGCTCCTCCCCTCGGAGCCACCCCATGCCCCCCCGCTCCTCCCCTCGGGGCCACCCCATGTCCCCCGTTCCTCCCCTCGGGGCCACCCCATGCCCCCCCGTTCCTCCCCTCGGGGCCACCCCAGGCCCCCCGCTCCTCCCCTCGGGGCCACCCCATGCCCCCCCCGCTCCTCCCCTCGGGGTCACCCCAGAGCCCCCGCTCCTCCCCTCGGGGTCACCCCAGATTCCCCGCTTCTCCCCTCGGGGTCACCCCGAGCCCCCCCCCGCCAGCCACCATCAGGCCGGGTAGTGGGGACGGGCCTCCCAGGCGGGACCAGGCCGCTGTCCCAGGAGTGAAGGGAGGAGGACACAGTCCCGGGCAGGCCAGAAATAACCAGGGACGGACAGGAACGGCGGCATCGGGGAGCGATGGACACGGATTCCGCATCGGGGAGCGATGGACACGGATTCCGCATCGGGGAGCGATGGACACGGATTCAGGGCGGGCGACCTCCCTGAGGCTTCCCGCGCTGACTGCGGGTCAGGGGGCGACCGGAGCGTGACGGAGACTGACGAAAACACACGATGTCTGACGGAGAAGACCGAGCGGAGCTGAACGGCGACGGAGAACGACGGAAAGCGACGAGGATTGACGGAAAGAGGCGGAGACTGACGGATGGTGACGAACGGTCACGGAAATGAACCGACGGCGACGAAGAGGAAGGCGAAACGGTGAGGTGAAGCGGGCTGAGCCTAATCGGAGATGACGGAAAGTGACGGAGAGGAACGAGGGGTAAAGAGGGGTGACGAAAAGAGCCGAAGCTGGTGAAGCGGAGGGAGGGAAGATGGCCGACAGGAGCCGGAGGGGCTTCGGGGGCTCGGCCGAGTGGGGGACGCCGGAGCCCGCGCTCTGCAGCGCCGGGACGCGGCTGCGCGGGGCGCTCCTCGCCCTCCCTGTCTCCCTAAGACACGTTTTCCTCCCGGGGGCACAAGATGCAGAACGCGGAGGTCGCCATCTTGGCCGCGTTCGAGCCCCGGGTGCGCGGGTCGCGCGGCGCCGCCGTCTGTCTGCAGAACGTTCGCACCTTCCCGAGCCGAACAGCTGCGTTCCGCGTCCCCGAGCCCGGGGCCGCGTGTCTTCTACGTTCCGGCCTCAGTGGGACCTCCCAGGCACGGAGGTGGCCGCGGCGCTGAGACCTCCCGGGTACGGAGGTCTTCCAGGTACTGAGATTTGGGTACTGAGCTCACCTAAGTCCTGGGGTCTCCTAGGCACTGAGACCTCCTGGGTGCTGAGGTCACCCAGGGACTGAGATCTTGGTACTGAGGTCACACAGGGACTGCGATCTGGGTGCTGAGGTCACTTAGGTACTGAGATTTGGGTACTGAGCTCACCTAAGTCCTGGGGTCTCCTAGGCACTGAGACCTCCTGGGTGCTGAGGTCACCCAGGGACTGAGATCTTGGTACTGAGGTCACACAGGGACTGCGATCTGGGTGCTGAGGTCACTTAGGTACTGAGATTTGGGTACTGAGCTCACCTAAGTCCTGGGGTCTCCTAGGCGCTGAGACCTCCGAGGTGCTGAGGTCACCCAGGGACTGAGGTCTTGGTACTGAGCTCACCTAAGTCCTGGGGTCTCCTGGGTGCTGAGGTCACCCAGGGACTGAGATCTTGGTACTGAGGTCACCCAGGGACTGCGATCTGGGTGCTGAGGTCACCCAGGGACTGAGATGTTGGTACTGAGGTCACACAGGGACTGCGATCTGGGTGCTGAGGTCACCTAGGCACTGACATTTGGGTACTGAGCTCACCTAAGTCCTGGGGTCTCCTAGGCACTGAGACCTCCTGGGTGCTGAGGTCACCCAGGGACTGAGATCTTGGTACTGAGGTCACACAGGGACTGCGATCTGGGTGCTGAGGTCACCCAGGGACTGAGATGTTGGTACTGAGGTCACCCAGGGACTGCGATCTGGGTGCTGAGGTCACCTAGGCACTGACATTTGGGTACTGAGCTCACCTAAGTCCTGGGGTCTCCTAGGCACTGAGACCTCCTGGGTGCTGAGGTCACCCAGGGACTGAGATCTTGGTACTGAGGTCACACAGGGACTGCGATCTGGGTACTGAGGTCACTTAGGTACTGAGATTTGGGTACTGAGCTCACCTAAGTCCTGGGGTCTCCTAGGCACTGAGACCTCCTGGGTGCTGAGGTCACCCAGGGACTGAGATCTTGGTACTGAGGTCACACAGGGACTGCGATCTGGGTGCTGAGGTCACCTAGGTACTGACATTTGGGTACTGAGCTCACCTAAGTCCTGGGGTCTCCTAGGCACTGAGACCTCCTGGGTGCTGAGGTCACCCAGGGACTGAGATCTTGGTACTGAGGTCACACAGGGACTGCGATCTGGGTGCTGAGGTCACCTAGGTACTGACATTTGGGTACTGAGCTCACCTAAGTCCTGGGGTCTCCTAGGCACTGAGACCTCCTGGGTGCTGAGGTCACCCAGGGACTGAGATCTTGGTACTGAGGTCACACAGGGACTGCGATCTGGATGCTGAGGTCACCTAGGTACTGAGCTCACCTAAGTCCTGGGGTCTCCTAGGCGCTGAGATCTCCTGGGTGCTGAGGTCACCCAGGGACTGAGATCTTGGTACTGAGGTCACACAGGGACTGCGATCTGGGTGCTGAGGTCACCTAGGTACTGACATTTGGGTACTGAGCTCACCTAAGTCCTGGGGTCTCCTAGGCACTGAGACCTCCTGGGTGCTGAGGTCACCCAGGGACTGAGATCTTGGTACTGAGGTCACCCAGGGACTGCGATCTGGGTGCTGAGGTCACCTAGGCACTGAGATTTGGGTACTGAGCTCACCTAAGTCCTGGGGTCTCCTAGGCACTGAGACCTCCTGGGTGCTGAGGTCACCCAGGGACTGAGATGTTGGTACTGAGCTCACCTAAGTCCTGGGATCTCCTGGGTGCTGAGGTCACCCAGGGACTGAGGTCTTGGTACTGAGCTCACCTAAGTCCTGGGATCTCCTGGGTGCTGAGGTCACCCAGGGACTGAGCTCTTGGTACTGAGGTCACCCAGGGACTGCGATCTGGGTGCTGAGGTCACCTAGGTACTGACATTTGGGTACTGAGCTCACCTAAGTCCTGGGGTCTCCTAGGCACTGAGACCTCCTGGGTGCTGAGGTCACCCAGGGACTGAGCTCTTGGTACTGAGGTCACACAGGGACTGTGATCTGGGTGCTGAGGTCACCTAGGTACTGAGATTTGGGTACTGAGCTCATCTAAGTCCTGGGGTCTCCTAGGCGCTGAGACCTCCTGGGTGCTGAGGTCACCCAGGGACTGAGCTCTTGGTACTGAGGGCACCCAGGGACTGCGATCTGGGTGCTGAGGTCACACAGGGACTGCGATCTGGGTGCTGAGGTCACCCAGGGACTGAGATCTTGGTACTGAGGTCACACAGGGACTGCGATCTGAGTGCTGAGGTCACCCAGGGACTGAGATCTTGGTACTGAGGTCACACAGGGACTGCGATCTGGGTGCTGAGGTCACCCAGGGACTGCGATTTGGGTGCTGAGGTCACCCAGGGACTGAGATCTTGGTACTGAGGTCACACAGGGACTGCGATCTGGGTGCTGAGGTCACCCAGGGACTGAGATATTGGTACTGAGGTCATTCAGGGACTGCGATCTGGGTGCTGAGGTCACCCAGGGACTGCGATCTGGGTGCTGAGGTCACCCAGGGACTGAGATCTTGGTACTGAGGTCACACAGGGACTGCGATCTGGGTGCTGAGGTCACCCAGGGACTGAGATCTTGGTACTGAGGTCACACAGGGACTGCGATCTGGGTGCTGAGGTCACCCAGGGACTGCGATCTGGGTGCTGAGGTCACCCAGGGACTGAGATCTTGGTACTGAGGTCACACAGGGACTGCGATCTGGGTGCTGAGGTCACCCAGGGACTGAGATGTTGGTACTGAGGTCACTCAGGGACTGCGATCTGGGTGCTGAGGTCACCCAGGGACTGCGATCTGGGTGCTGAGGTCACCCAGGGACTGAGATCTTGGTACTGAGGTCACACAGGGACTGCGATCTGGGTGCTGAGGTCACACAGGGACTGCGATCTGGGTGCTGAGGTCACTTAGGTACTGAGCTCACCTAAGTCCTGGGGTCTCCTAGGCACTGAGACCTCCTGGGTGCTGAGGTCACCCAGGGACTGAGATCTTGGTACTGAGGTCACTCAGGGACTGCGATCTGGGTGCTGAGGTCACTTAGGTACTGAGATTTGGGTACTGAGCTCACCTAAGTCCTGGGGTCTCCTAGGCACTGAGACCTCCTGGGTGCTGAGGTCACCCAGGGACTGAGATCTTGGTACTGAGGTCACACAGGGACTGCGATCTGGGTGCTGAGGTCACCCAGGGACTGAGATGTTGGTACTGAGGTCACCTAAGTATTGAGGTCTCCCAGGTGCTGCTGTCTCCTAGGCACTGAGACCTCCTAGGTACTGAGGTCACCCCGGGACTGAGATCTTGGTACTGCGGTCTCCTAGGTACTGAGACCTCCTCGGTACTGCGGTCTCCTCGGTACTGAGACCTCCTCGGTACTGCGGTCTCCTCGGTACTGCAGTCTTCCCCTGTCGGAGGGGAAACGACTCACTGGCAGAGCACAGCCAGGACCTTCCTGTGAGGGCGGTGGGCTGAGCTGTCCCTTCCTTGCAGAGCGTCAGTGCTGCCAAAAGCCTGCTTTGTTCTAACCCAGCCTGGACCACCACGGCCTGTCCCACATGGGTCACGTTCACTGAACTCTGTGGCTTGGGTCCCTCTGCAGAACACGCACAGTGCATGCCCCCGTCCGTGAGTGTTCAGGGCCGCCCTAGCAAAGCACCAGGACTGGAGGTCTTCACTGAACATCATCTTCCCCCCGTCCGGCAGGCTGAGCTCCGAGAACAAGGTGTCTTCGCCGGGCGCGGTGGCTCAAGCCTGTAATCCCGGCACTTTGGGAGGCCGAGGCGGGTGGATCACGAGGTCGAGAGATCGAGACCATGCTGGTCAACGTGGTGAAACCCCGTATCTACTAAAAATACAAAAAATCAGCTGGGCGTGGTGGCGCGTGCCTGTAATCCCAGCTATTCGGGAGGCTGAGGCAGGAGAATTGCCTGAACCCAGGAGGCGGAGGTTGCGGTGAGCCGAGATCGCGCCATGGCACTCCAGCCTGGGTAACAAGAGCGAAACTCCGTCTCAAAAAAACAACAACAACCAAAAAAAGGTGTCTTCAGCAGGCTGGCTCCTCCCAACACGCCTGTGCTCGCCCTCGGACGCGTCTTTTGTATGCTCATAGGGTCTTTTCACTGGCACGATACCCCTGGCACCTCTTCTGTGTGTGTGCACACTTCCTCTTGTGTGAACAGCAGCTTGCATGAGGGCCCACCCTGACAGCCTCATCCTAACACTACGAGGCCAAATACAGTCCCATTCTGGGTGGGGCACACGGGAGGGGGTACTCCAGTCCGTTTAGCCAAGGCCTCCCACGGACGTGCCTGAAGCTAGGGGCTCTGGGGATACAACTTTGGCTTCTGGTGGGTGAGAGACAGTTGTCCCCTGTGTGGAACGTGTCACCTCCTGTGGTTCCAGTTACCTGTCGTCAAAGTCCAGAAATGTTAAATGGGGCAAGATAAACGATTCATGCGTTTTATTTCATTTTTATGACTTATTTGTTGAGACAGGGTCTCACTGAGGAGCAGGGCACACCGTGGTGGTAGGATCACAGCTCACCAGCCTGGACCTCCCGACCTCCTGACCTCCAGCCATCCTCCCACCTCAGCCTGCCCGTGAGTCACTCAGGAGCCTTGGCGGTGACCGGCTTGTGTTCAGTGGACCCCGAGATTCACTTGGCCACGGTACAGAGCACAGGAGCCGTGAGGCTGTTGAAACTGTTCCGTTTTCCCACGGCTCACCGCATAGGTGCCTAGTTTACAAACCAAACTTCATCGTGGGTGCTTGTGTCCGTGGAGAGGCGCAGTCTGCAGAGACCTTGGTGCCATCTGGGTCTCCGGCATCCACCGGGGGTCTTGGAATGCATACCGCGGTCCAGGAAGGCCCATACTGCGCTCAGGTGAATAACGGCCCCCAAAGATGTCCGTGCCCCCATCCCCAGAACCTGAGAATACATTCCCCTTGTGGCAGAAGGCCCTCTGCAGCCGTGATTAACTGTAGGGTGTTGAGATGGGGAGATTGTCTGGATGATCGGGTCCTGTGCAGTCACAGGGTCCTTAGACGAGGGAGCTTCGGAGAGGAAGAGGTGCCCCCAGGGGCAGGGGACTGGGGTGATGGGGTCACAAGCCCGGGACACTTCAGCCAGGATAGCTGGGAGAGGCGTGCAGGGCTTCCACTGGAGACTCTGGAGAAGCAAGGCCTACACGCCTTGCTGTTACCCCGGAAGACCCACCTTGGATGTGTGAGGTCAGGAACCGAGAGGGAGTAAATTGCACTGTGTTTAAGCCCTGGGACATGACGCCATGCCCAGCCCCAGAGCTGAGGAGCTGACCGCGCCCCCTTGCAAGCCGCTGAGATGCAGGCGCAGCTGACGACCGAGTGGGCACCCTGCTGCTGCTTGGGGAGCCTGCGCCCTGGAGAGGGACTGAGCATTCCAGGGGAGCCTGCGCCCTGGAGAGGGACTGAACATTCCAGGGGAACCTGCGCCCTGGAGAGGACTGAGCGGTCATCTTGGACCTGCGCCCTGGAGAGGGACTGAGCATTCCAGGGGAACCTGTGCCCTGGAGAGGGACTGAGGGCCCCGGGGAACCTGCGCTCCGGAGAGGGACTGAGCATTCCAGGGGAACCTGCGCCCTGGAGAGGACTGAGCGGCCCCGGGGGACCTGCGCCCTGGAGAGGGACTGAGCATTCCAGGGGAACCTGCGCCCTGGAGAGGACTGAGCGGCCCCGGGGGACCTGCGCCCTGGAGAGGGACTGAGCATTCCAGGGGAACCTGCGCCCTGGAGAGGACTGAGCGGCCCCGGGGAACCTGCGCCCTGGAGAGGGACTGAGCATTCCAGGGGAACCTGCGCCCTGGAGAGGACTGAGCGGCCCCGGGGGACCTGCGCCCTGGAGAGGGACTGAGCATTCCAGGGGAACCTGCGCCCTGGAGAGGACTGAGCGGCCCCGGGGAACCTGCGCCCTGGAGAGGGACTGAGCATTCCAGGGGAACCTGCGCCCTGGAGAGGACTGAGCGGCCCGGGGGACCTGCGCCCTGGAGAGGGACTGAGCATTTCCAGGGGAACCTGCGCCCTGGAGAGGACTGAGCGGCCCCGGGGAACCTGCGCCCTGGAGAGGACTGAGCGGCCCCGGGGAACCTGCGCCCTGGAGAGGGACTGAGCGGCCCCGGGGAACCTGCGCCCTGGAGAGGACTGAGCGGTCATCTTGGACCTGCGCCCTGGAGAGGGACTGAGCGGCCCCGGGGAACCTGCGCCCTGGAGAGGACTGAGCGGCCCCGGGGAACCTGCGCCCTGGAGAGGGACTGAGCATTCCAGGGGAACCTGCGCCCTGGCGAGGACTGAGCGGCCCCGGGGAACCTGCGCACCGGAGAGGGAGTCTGCAGCAGCAGGTGGAGCTCACAGCGTGAAGAGGTGTGTAGGGTCGGCGTGCAGGGCTTGTGGCGCTGCTGGGGGCCATGAGGCAGACTTCCTGGGACAGAGGTGGCTGAGCCGGGCCGCTGGGGACCAAGTCGTACACCAGCCACTTCGGGACAAGAAGCCGCTGTGCGAGGGCCCTGCGGCAGAGAGCGGCTGTTCCGCGCACCCGCCTGCCTGAGGGGCTGAGCCGGGCACAGAAGACAGGGGTGGGGAGGAAGGCGCGACTCTGGGGGCGGCGTCAGCCCTTGTTGGGGCGAAGACTTGTGATTCCTTCTGACTTGTCTGAGGCCTGTCTGGAGAGTGGCTGTGGACTTGGGTCTGGCTTCCTCCTCTCGGGGCTGTGCCTGCGAGTCACAGACAACAAGAGTTTCAAGCCCAAACGGGCTCGGGGGGTGGGTTGTGGATTCCGGGGCTCGGAGGGTTGTTTGTGGATCTTGGGGGTTGAGGGATTGTTTGTGGATTTGGGGACTTGGGGGGATGATTGTGGATTTGGGGGCTCATGTGTGGGTTATTTGTGGATTTGGGGGTTTGGGGGGATGATGTGGATTTTGGGGCTTGGGTTGGTTGCGGATTTGGCGGCTTGGGATGTTTGTGGATTTGGGGGCTCAGGGGTGTGGCTTTGGGGGTTTGGGGGGATGGTGGATTTTGGTGCTTGGAGGGATTGCTTGTGGAATTGGGGACTCGGTGGGGGGTTGATTTGGATTTGGGGGAGGGGTTGGGCTGTAGATTCTGTGTTCCGCAGGGTGCCCTCTGTCCTGGAGGATGCCCTCACCGCAGCCCTCACCAGGTGACCACATGACCCTCTCACTGGAAATGGGCTTCTTCTGGCAGGTGCCCTGGGGGCTGTTCTGTGGCCACATCGCGCTGATTCCTACAATGTCCACTCTCAGGAGAGCCGTGGCAGGGACGAGAGTCAGGTCGGGTGTGCGATTGGTGGGGGGGGGCACACAGGACGCGACACAGCAAACACCCAGGACGGCAGGAGCAGGGCCCTGGCAGAGGCAGGGGGAAGCCACAGCCCTCAGGCCACGGGGAGAAGGAGAGGGAGCGAGGGTCAGAATGAGAGAGATGGAGACAGAGGGAGAGGGAAGGGAGGGAGGGTGAGAGCTGTGGGCCCCACCCGCATGAGGTCCAGGGTGTTACTGGCGACTGGCGGGTCTTCGAGGCGGGGCTGGGACTTTCCTGGTGGTTTAGGGGGGTCCCTGACGCGCGTCTCGACAGTCCCCATGGGGTGTGGGGGTCGGTGGGGTGAGCCAGGCAGGCTGCGTGTGGACGTCTCACCATGAGGTCGCAGCAGGGCCCGCGTGGCCGGCCCGGTGTCCGTCACAGCGACCGGGGAACCCAGAGGAGGCGGAGAACGGCGACTGTCCGCAGTGACCGAGCTGCTTCTGGTCTAAGGACGCGAGGCCCCTACTGGCCGTCGGCACAGAGGCAGCCTGACATCGGGAACTCCACGCAGGGCGCCACGCAGCATCCCACGCTGTGGCCCCATCCGGTGGACCATGGCCGGCCGTAGGGCCATGCTGTTACCCAGCAGCCGTCCAGCAAGGCGGTGTCACGGAGCCCAGGGCTCGGCCGGGCTGATGGAGGGTGGGCGGTGAGGACAGAGGGCCTCCCTGGCGTGAGGAGGGGTGGGTGCGAGTCAGGTGTGCAGGGAACCAGGCCCCACACCCCGCCCCGTGGGTACCCAGAGTTCAGAGGAGACAAAACAATGAGACAAAGGTGGAGCATGGCAGTGGGACTGGGGCCGTCACCCGTGCTGGAGGCAGCGGAGGCCCCGGGCTGAGGTTCCCGCCCTGTTTCCTGCGTAGGATCCCGCCGAGCAGTCAGCAGATGCCGGGCAAAGCTGTGGTGACGGTGGGGACAGGGGGGCGGGACGGTGGAGCGTTCTTCGGTGAACAGGAGCCAGGGCGACCTTCTGCAGATTCCCGGCGCTGGCCGCTTTGTGGGCAACTGTGAAAAGCAGAAGCCTGGCCGGGCATGGTGGCTCACGCCTATCATCCCGGCACTGTGGGAGGCTGAGGCGGGCGGATCACAAGGTCAGGAGTTCAAGACCAGCCTGAACCACGTGCTGAAACCCCATCTCTAAAAACATAGAAAAGCAGAAGCCTGTGGTTATTACCTATAGATGGTGTTCCGCGCGCGGCTGCAGGGTGTGAGTGTCACAGGAGCCTGATGTCCGGTTACTTGGTGACGAGACAGAAGGTTTTCAGCCCTTGCGCGTGGGATGTGCTTGGCAGAGTCCAGGGTACTGTGCAGCTGGAACAGGAAGGCCTGGGGAAGTTTGCCTCCCACAGGCCTGGCGTGCTGTGCCGCAGTTTGCTGTTCCTTGCTGCCTCGCCCAGCTCCTGGGGGCTCCAGACACCCCCATCACTCCTGTCTCTGCCTCTGTCTGCCTGTGGCCTCCTCCCGCCTGTGGCCTCCTCCCGTGGCCTTCTCCCGTGTCTCTTGGAGAGGCACCAATCATTGCCTTCGGAGCCCACTCTCCAAATCATCCGGGATGCTCTCATCCCCAGGCATCAGCTCCACAAAGACCCGACTCCAAGTGAGGTCCCATCCGAGGTGCCGGGTGGACGTGGCCTGCGGGAGATGCTTTTCCACGCACTGCAGCGGTGTTGCCGGTGAGCTGGAGGTCAGGGCTCCGACAAGGAAGGAGGTACGGGCGGGTGTGGTGGTGATGCCCACTGAACTTCCGTGCGGGGGTGCTGGTGCAGGGGTCTGAGTTCGGGAGCAAAGTGAGTTGCAGCCGTGAACGCAGGAGTCATGGGCGCGTGGACGCTCTGCAGTGATTAGAGAGATGAGATCCATGCCCTGTGGAGACGCGGAGCCGTGGGCGGGGGACACGGCTCCGGGGCCTTCACGTTACAGGCCAGGAGAGCTGAGGAGTCAGAGGAGTCAGGAGGAGCAGCCGGGAGGTCGGACCAAGCCAGCACCCCTGGGGACGCGCTGCACAGTGAGCAGCAGCAGGACGGAGCTGGGGCGTCTCCGCCGCTGGTGGGTGGGGGCCGTGGGGGCAGAGGACTCCCCGTGAGCACCGGAGAGCACCAAGCCTTGGGAGCAAGAGGCCCGCGTGGGCTCAGGGACACGAGGCTCCCAGCCTGTCCAAGTCCCGAACTGCAGGCTTGATGGAGAAAGACGCCCTCCCCTCCCCGCCCAAGCCGGGCAGGTGTTCTCTGCTCTCTGCAGCCGGGTCCCCCTCTTTCCTCCCAGTGCCTCTGCACCTGAGGGTTTCCTTCTCCCGCTCAAGCTTGTCTGGGGACTCGCCAGCGTTTCCCTGGCCGCGACCCTCCTCTGTGTGTTGGCTTCAGGGTGCACAGGGAAGGCAGCTGTGGGCTGGGACGGGAAGGCCAAGGGGCCGCTGTGGGCTGAGGCGGGTCCGCCAAGGTCTTTGCAGAGAAGGCAGCTGTGGGCTCGGACAGGATGGCCAGGGGCCTTGCAGAAAAGAAATGTGGGCTGGGATGGGGCGGGCAAGGGCTTTGCAGAGAACGGAGCCGCGAGCTGCGACGGGGCGGACAAGGGCCTCTTACAGAAGGGAGCTGGGCTGAGGTCGGTCCGCCAAGGTCTTTGCAGAGAACGAGCTGTGAGCTGGGACAGGATGGCCAGGGGCTTTGCAGAAAAGGGAAACGTGGGCTGGGATGGGGCGGGCAAGGCTTTTGCAGAGAAGGGAGCTGGAGCCGAGGCGGGTCCACTAAGGCCTTGGCGGAGAAGGGAGCTGTGGGCTGGGACGGGGCGGGCCCGGGCCTTCCTTGGGCCATGTTATCATTGGTGTCTGCAGAAAGCAGACACTTCCTTGATTCTTAAAGCCTGTTCCCTGCTTTTGAGTCGGACCATCGCTGGGGGTGCACGCCTAGGTCTGGGGTTCTATCAAGACCCCCTTGGAGGGAGCATGTGAGCGGCGTGTGCCCCCCACACACGTGTACCAACTCCCACGGCCGCGGTCAGCTGCGGTCAGCCCAGAGATCGCACGCCTGCCCTGCAGCCTGGGCGACAGAGTGAGATTCCGCGGACCTGGCTGCTGTGGGCAGTCGCGCTTCTGTGGTTTCAGTATTTCTGTGGGTTTTAGGGTACCAACGAGTCTGTAAACCTGGTCGTACGAGAGACGGCCTGTGTGAGTCAGGGTACTGACAGGCACAGGGCCGGGAGGGTGGATGGAAATATGAAGAGGAGTTGATCAGGAGAATTCACTCAGGGATCACAAGTCGAAAGCCCACAAGAGGACATCTGCAAGCTGGTGTTAGGTGTGGTGAACCCCAACTTTCTCTTCAAAGAATCAGGGTGTCAGGCCGGGCGCGGTGGCTCACGCCGGTCATCCCAGCACTTTGGGAGGCCGAGGCGGGTGGATCACGAGGTCAAGAGATCGAGACCATCCCGGTCAACATGGTGAAACGCCGTCTCTACTAAAAAACAAAAAAAAATTAGCTGGGCGTGGTGGCGCATGCCTGTAATCCCAGCTACTCAGGAGGCTGAGGCAGGAGAATTGCCTGAACCCAGGAGGCGGAGGTTGCGGTGAGCCGAGATCGCGCCATTGCACTCCAGCCTGGGCAACAAGAGCGAAACTCCGTCTCAAAAAAAAAAAAAAAACCAACCAGAATCAGGAT